TATATATATATTTTTTGCTGAGTGTTCCAATATATCTTTATTACTTAACTTTATGAAAAGCAATTGGCATCTAATGGCTATAAATAAGCTTTCATGTATTCTGTAAGATTTAAAAAATGTCTCTGGTGTGATACTGCTCAGGAGCTGGAAGATGCTACAAATCTGCATCCTGATTAGTTGGCGTAATTTCAGCCTTCATTAAGAGGGTGCGACCTGTGGGTTCCAGTGGATTAAATTCCAGAATGGGGCAAGTAAATGTCTTAAGAAATAACTTTTTCCAGACCATGGCAGAGCAGTTTGCGTTTGCTTGTCTTCTAAGAAAATGCGAATGCTTTTTTTTACCTTTTCCCAAGTTTTTGTTGGGGGCGGAAGAAAAGTACATGCTGAAATACTTACTTTGAATTTTCCAGAAAGAAATCAAATGTTGTAGCATGCTAGATTTTCAGACTGCTCAAACAAGTAGAACTTCTGAGTGTTTTCAGCTGTGTCTCCATAGAAATCCTTTACTCCCCCACCACAGTCTTTCATATTTAGTTTCCATATCCAGCGCACTATTGTGAAGGAGGGGAAGCGCAGAGTGGCTGCAGGGGAAGCAGCCAATGGCTCCAGCACCAGAGCAGGCTCGGGCTGCGGAGGTGACCTTCGCGACCTTCGCGAGGGGCCGCGCTGAGGAGAGCCGCTTTTCGTGCCTTGTAATGGGAAAGAAAATCCTGGCGAGGCCTTTGATCAGCAAAGCAAGAGCAAGGAGCAAACGGGCAGCTTTGTGCACAAAACTGCCAAGTCAGTGCTGGCTTTCTCTGCTCCGAGAACAGCGTTACCACCTCGCGTAGAGTATGTGCACAGGTCTACAGAGACGTGGGGTATTTGTTGCATAGTTGTAGAAAATCCTTCTATCTATTCAAAACTAAGGGAAAATCTTGGTTGGTTGTTACCAGTTACGGTGAAGTTAAAGTGTCTCATCTAATAATTTGCAATGCAAAAGTGAGGGAACTTTTCTATTCTTATGTTTTTGGGCAAGATTTTCAAAAGAGAAGAAATTGCATAACACTTTAAAAAATAGCTCTAGCATTGAGGAGTGGACATCTCTTGTATGCAGCTGGCATTTTTTTAACTGTACATCTTACTTCTTTGCAGCATCTGATGTTTTTCTGTTTCTCTATTGATGCCTACAATGCATTTCAATTTCAGAAATTTCAGACAAAATTTCAGAAGGAACAGTGGGTTTGCTTTGCAAGTATGTAAAGTTTTATTTTGACTTGTACAGATTTAAAACCAAACAATCTATTCTTATATTGGGAAAATGTTATATCAGCTTTTAGCTTCTCTTTTCCTTCATTATGTTCTTTCTACTGTTCTTCAGCTGCTGGCCTTCAAATGCAGCTGTATCCTTCTGTTACAGTTGCTCATCTCTCTGATGAGTTGTGTTCCTCTCCTATGACAGTTTTCCCCTGAAAAAATTGAGTTAATTCTTGCACCTGAGCTGAAGTGCTCTGTATTCTTCCTCTGCCATAGACTAGGAGAGGGTTCGTAATGTTTTTATTCAGTACTTCTTTCCATTCCAGTGAGATTCTGCCTCCCGGTTTGATCTCCCAGACCAATATATTTTTGTCCAGTGAACTCAACAGTTTGTTCATTCTCGGCAAGAATTCTTCCTGTGGCTTGTAAACTTGCATATTTCAACCTCCTTCCTTGGCTACTTAAGCTTCTCTTCATGAAGCTTGGCTCCTGAGGAGATGTTGATATTACCAGATTGCCAGATTCCTCTGCAAGTCAAGTTTCTTCTTTTAGACTTCCCCTATTCACTTTCTTTGATGCTTCATAGTTTCCTCTACCACTCCCTCATTAATCACCCCTCTTACTGTGCTGAAGTGGTTCACAGTGATTTTATTCTTTCTTACATGACTGAAAAAAAATAATCAGCTCCACAGTTATGGAGCCGTGTAAGCCATGTTTTCACACCTGCTTTGTTTTGGAGTAGTGCCCTTCAGTTTTATGGAAGTGCAGAAATTTAAATATGTTTCATTGTCTTACAAAATAGCTACAGGTTTTCAATAATTAAACAGTTTATTAGATCCTTGCACAGTTCTGGATAATTAATTTTCTGTGGATGTGATTTATTTTTGTGCAGACTGTTCTTCAGCAGCTCTTACCTGCAGGACATCTGTTACTCCCAACACATACAGTGATTTTCAGATAAGATACTTAGCATCTGATGAAGATAGCCAGGAAATTGATTTGTTCGAAGTCCCTCATCACCAATGAATTTCTAAGTAGATTGTAGTAGAATGACTCCATTAGCAGATTCATTTGTCTTGCATGTACTGATTAGTGTGATATGGTCCCACTGCAATTACTTTATTTAAGAGACAAATCCAACATCTGCCTACCACCTCCCCCCTTGCTTGCACTGACAAAATCAGCCAAGGGCAGTTCCTGGTTCTGTGAGCAGGAGGATTTTGCCTCCAGGCCCTCCTCCTCCTCCTCCTCCTTCTCCTCCTCCCTCATGTGGAAGCAGTGCTGGCAGCAGCAGCTTCCAGCCAGCTCTGTGCATGCTCCAGCACAGAAGGTGATATTTGGCTGCCTGGATGATACTTGCTGTCCAAGCAGCTGCTGTCTGTAGTAGAGTGTGTGAGTTACCAGAGAGATTGCAAGGTTACAGGGCTCCAGCAGTCAAGGTCCATTTAGTTAGTCAAGTAAGACTGCAGTCTTGAAGATTATCTATAGATAAAAGTATCAGAATACGAGTAGTCAAGTCAGAGATGAGGAGAAATGGAGCACAAAGGAATGGGGACACTGAAACGGAGCCATTCAACTCCAGAGCCTTGTCCACTTTCAGTTCCATGCTGGATATCTTGTCTGTCTTCTGCAGCATATTCTTTGCCTTTGTTATGCTGTTACATTTTGTTCTTCTTGATATACATGAAAATGCAAGTAGGTTTCTTGTATAGAACAGAGTATTGTCAGATCTGTAACAGTCTTTTTCATTTTTACTTGAACATAAATATTTTGTAACAATTTTCTGAAGAAATTTCTGAAGAGATACTTGAAGTCTCACAAGGTATCAGAGAAGAATGAGTAGGTGTAATGTGCCAGTTTACAGAACTAGAGTCATGCTATCTAGAAATAGATTTATTTCTTTTTAATGTACAGTTTACTTTTAAAAGGTTTTGAGATAAAGCTTCAAATTATTTCAAATTACGACCTGTGCAGTGATTGCAGAGTAAATTTTAAAGATAACACTAAACAGTGCATGTTTGCTACTGAGCTTTCAGTGATAAATTCTGGAAGGAAGTTGCTGGGTAAGTACATGGAAGTATAAAATGTTGAACCACAGCTCAGAACGCATTAGCCAAGTGAATGTTTACTTTGTTGTTGTTTATTCAAGCTTCTTAGTTCAAAACTAAAACTGGGAGCTGAAGAGCAGTGGTTTGTTCCCTTCTTCAATAATTCTGAATACAAAACTTATGTGGAAAAATGACATGTTTTATAAAGCTTTCAGTGCGTGATGATTAGAAGCAGTTGATTCAGATCACTAAATACAGTCGGACATCTTATGAGAATGTTGAAAATTACTGGAGCAGGGCAGACCAAAGGGATTATATTAGCTCAGTGTTAGGTTTTAGCAGGCTAATTGTGGATGACTGTGAAAGAATATTAATTTTAAAAGATAGTGGAGGTCTCATTCTCCTTTTTTATATAAAGCCTCCTTTTATATATAGCCTCCTTTTTTTTGCCTGCAGGTACTGGTTTACGTCTTCTCACCTGAAGATCCCAATCTAGGTTACTGAATTTAAAGGGCACGCATGGTTGTACGCTGAAGTTTGCAGTGACTGTGAGGCCCTGTGATGGAGCAGTGTGTTGTCCGTTTGCAGTTCATGCTGCTTGTCCCAGCAGGTGTATTTTGGGTAGCCTGTGTAAAGGTCTGCTCTGTGAGAAGTTGACATGGAATTGGGATGAATGTTGTTCCAGTAACTATGGTCTCTAATTTACTGCTTAAAACTCAGAAAGGTTGCGTACTATTACTATTAGCTGCTGAAATGACTGGTATATGAGAGTACATATCGACACTTCTGAGATCTGTAGCAGTCTGTCTTCCAAACACAGGTTATAAAGCCAGTACCTTTTGTCTCAGGAATTTTATATGCTGCCTACTGAATGAGCCAAACGCAAGCAAACAGACAAAACCTAAACAACCTTCAGAGCTTGCATTTACAATTTCATTTGAATTGAAGGGTTTGAAACAATTTTGGCAGTCTGATTGGTGGACAAATGTAGGCCTGTAGAATGGTGATAAGAATAATTTAGGCTGTAGAAAGCTTGTCTTATAGAGGAGATTAAAGAAGCTCAGTTTGTCTAAATTCAGAGTGACTTAGTACTGATTGGAAAAAAAAGCTTCACCATCAAGGGAATTTCTAAAACAGTTTGTGAATTTTGCAGGCAAAAAAGGAAGAGCTGGAAGTTGATAATGGCAGCATTTGGAACTGCAAGGGAGTGGAGGAAAGGGATGGTCCTAGGGAAGTGCTGACTAATGGTCAGCAAACACTGTAAAGGAGCTCTTGTGTTACCAGCTGGCCTCACTTCCTAAAAGGAAAATAAACTCTCTACTGTTCAAGCATAAAGTTTGAGCTGGGGAAGTCTCTAAGCTGGACTCTTGGAAAGTGGGGAGAGGCTGTGCTAGAAGGAGAGCTTGATTGTAATGATCTTAGCCATTAGAACAGGCACAACTAACTTCTGGTGTGACCTGTATTCTGATCTTTCATGTGGGTAGGATGTAGTTGTATCTTTATGGTATTAGAGAGGCCTGCTACTAGTAAGCATGAGTTTTAACTGCTAGAAATATATTTTATGAGTAGTTTTAAAAAAATGTATATCAATAAGTAAATCTCATGTTCTTCCCCCTTCTCCCACTGTAGCAACACACCCTGCCTTGCACCCACCCCCCAGTGACTGAATGCTGCTTTTCATTAGCAGATGGAGACTGCAGGGATTCTCAGTTTGAAATTATACTAAGTTAAGGTGATAAATTTAATTAAGTTTTATTGGGAACTTCAACTCTTCTTAAACATTTCCCACTCAAATTTAGTGTAAGTTGGAGATCTGATTTCTGTTTTGTGATCCGTTTTGCATCTAAGGGTAGGGTTGAACAGTTTCTAAATAAGTACTTGACTGTTTAAAAGCACGTCACTTAAATTACTAACAGTTCTTGAAGTACAAATTTCATGTAGAGATATGTAACAGTTTAGTCTTTGTCAAAATTAGCAACTACCATGTTTTATCAAAATAGAGAGTCCTGTGCCTAACATATTATAATCACTATTTTTAATTCTCTCTATACCAAAATATACTCAGAAAGCAACTAAAATTACTGCAAAATGAAATACATAATAAATACCAATACTAGAGCTTTTATGTTGATTTAATGGAATAAATTAAAACTTAAGACGTCTTTTAAATAATTAATAAGTCTTTGCTTTTTTCTAGAAACAAAAAATAGTTTGTTTTGCTGCTGATGATTTCACTGTCAAACTTTAAGTTTTTTCTCTGTTACTTCCCCAAATTATTAATAATAAAACAAAATATAAATGAAAATTTCCACTTGATAACTTCTGAAACTTGTAATGAAATTTGAGTTTAAAAATTGTTTTACTTTGCATTAGTTATTTAGCCAAGAGCTTCAGAAATAGTTTTAAAACTGATACTTCCAAACTCTTTGTGCCTGGTGAGGAGAAATGTAGAACCAGAACTTGAAAATCCTCACACTGAAAACAGGTTTTTTTGGTCACTTTTTACAGTAAATATAATAGCTGTTATATTTAATTATAATAT